ATGGTGCTCATGATTGAACGCTGGGCCCCTGCTCATGGAGCTCGTTTCCACATTTCGGATAATAAAACGCTTGTTTTTCGTTTAGGAGGTTTCGGACAGATGCAGCACATTTTCTTCCGCCCATCGCCGTCGGCCACTTGCGCGTCTCTTTCTCGAGGTTCTGGCCCACATAGATGGCTTGGCTGGATGTGGACTGAGGACGGCGGTGCTTTAGAAACCCTGCAGGCTCGGTTGCATGCTGCGTCTGGTGTTTTTTCCACGCTGGCGGGGCTTTGCTCGTCTAATGTCGTCCCCCTGCCCTTCGTCCTAAAGTTGTTTGAAGGGAAGGTGGATGCATGCATGAGGCCTGGTCGATGGCTCTTTGCTGTCCTGGCCACAGATGCTGCGCAGATACTCGATGATGCATACGCTCGTTGGGCTAGAATCCTGCTTGGTGTTCCAAGCTGGATGCCGGCTCATGCTGTTTTTTGGGAATTAGGTTGGTCTCTTTCTGGGATGGCGCGAGCAGTTTTGGATGTTGCGATGAGACGCGCACGTATGCAATGCTGGGATTCAGATGACCTTTTTCGTAGAATTTTTGATGCAGCCTCACATTCAGCCACAGATGATACTTGGAGCTCAAAGAGCCTCCGACTCCTCAGAGAGTGGGGAATTCGTGACTTTTGCGAAGGCAACATGCACTTGGGGATCCGTGAATACAAGCGATATGTTAAACATGTTTTGGAGGCTAGATGCTTGGAGAAGCAGCAGTCCTGCATTCAGTCTTCTACATGTTTTTTGTCGTGGCGGGTCATTTATCCCAAGCTGGCCCCACACGACCTGCTTGCTTCAATCCTGAAGCAGCCAATGTCGTGGAGCAGCTTGCTGGCTAGCAGAGCCTTGTGCCGTCTCAGGCTTAATCTTTTTCCTTTGGGGCATCGTCAGGGTTCTTTTTCTAAGGCCAGGGTTGTTAAGTGTATTGCTTGTGACAAATCTGTACAGGGGCCACTTGCCCATGTTCTCCTTTCTTGCGAAAGGTTTGCTGAGGCCCGTGGAGCTTTGGCATCATGCGAATGCCCTGCAGAAGGGTCCGTTTCCGGGATCTTGTGCCTGCAGCCTGGACAGGAGGGGTTTGAGGAGCTTCTGGCTCTCGCACGTGAGGTTCAAGACTATGTGTTTGCATACTGGAGAGAAAGGTCTCGACCTCTCAGGATGCTGCTCCCATGACTGCCCCGGCCAAAAGCGTGTGCTGTTAAGCCGGACTGTTGAGACACGGGGCCTGCTTTTGCGCGCTTCCATCCAGCAGTTCGATAGGGGTATGTTTCTCCCACGGTGTGGGCCAGGGAAACCAGCGCAAACCAGCGTTTAGGGTTTAGGGTTTAGGGTTTAGGGTTTAGGGTTTAGGGTTTAGGGTTTAGGGTTTAGGGTTTAGGGTTTAGGGTTTAGGGTTTAGGGTTTAGGGTTTAGGGTTTAGGGTTTAGGGGTTAGGGTTTAAGAGGGCTGAAGAGGGCTGAGAGGGCTTCAGGGGGCTTAAGGGGGCTTAAGAGGGATCAAGAGGGCTTAGAGAGCTTGTAGGGTGTAGGGTTTCAGATGTAGGGTTAAATAGGCTTTTCAAGGGCTTCAAGGGCTTAGAGGGCTTGTAGTGCTCGTAGGGCTTGTAGGGTTTAGGGTTAGGGCTTAGGGTTTAAGATTTCGGGTCTAGTTAGGGCTTCGGGTTTTGGGGTTTTCAAGGGCTTCAAGTGCTTGCGGGGCTTCTGGGGCTTAAAGCATGCAGCTGGGAGACCCTAAACCCTAAACCCTAAACCTAAACCCCAAACCCCAAACCCTAAACCCTAAACCCCAAGCGGACAAGGGTTAAGGCTCTGCATATCACGGCAAGTGTGCGAGAACTGGCCTGGTGAGGGTTGACCAGACTCAAGAGCTTTCGGGGCTTATAAGTGTGTCTAGGGTTTGGGGTTTAGGGTTTAGGGTTTAGGGTTTAGGGTTTAGGGTTTAGGGCTTAGGGCTTAGGGAATTGGGTTTAGTCTAGTGTTTCCGGGGCTTGAACGTTATGGAGTGGCCAAGAGCTTGTAGTGTTCAGGGCTTGGGGACCGGCAGCCCTGATCCCGGACCTCAACTACCCCAAGAGGGCACCAGACTTACCCTAAACCCTAAACCCTAAACCCCTCTCCCCTCTGCGTGCCAACGCACCTTGCAGCCGAAATTGACGCCCACCTTGGCAGACTCCAAGAGGGCTTCTGGGTTTAGGGTTTAGGGTTTAGGGTTTAGGGTTTAGGGCTTAGGGTTTAGGGTTTAGGGTTTAGGGGTAGTGGGTGTTTACGGCTTTTCAAGGCTTGTTGGGCTTGAGGACTGAGGGTTTAGGGTTTAGGGTTTGGGGTTTAGGGTCTAGGGTTTAGGGTTTAGGGTTTAGGGTGTTTGTTTGAGCCATGCTTGGTAGGAAGATATACGGACGTTTGATCCTACTCTCGACCTTAAACCTCATTTAGACTGGGTCTCAAAACCCTAGACCCTCTAACACTAAGATCCCTAACCGCCTAACCCTCCCCCGCCTCAGCGTCCTCAGCTGTGCTGCAGCCAGTGATCTCCCAGCAGCCGCCTTCAGGAGTTGTTTATTTAGGGTTTAGGGTTTAGGGGTTTGGGGGTGTAGGGTGTTACCGGGGCTCGGAGGTGAGGGCTTTGGGGGGCTTAGGGCTTTAAGGGCTTAAGGGGCTTAGAGCTGCAGCTAGAAGAGTTGAGGGGCTTGGAAGCCCAACAAACGGCCTCTATGACTCTTCTGACGACACACGGCTTACTATTGGAAGGCCCGACTCATAGGGGCCGGGGGGGTCACCGAATAGTCCATAGTTCCCTAAACCTGCTCCCCCAAACCCTGGACCCTTACAGGCCCTTCCTCAAAACCCAACAACCCGAAACCCCTAAAACCCAGAAACTCTATCTCCAAATCCAAGCCCTAAACCCGAAAAAGAAACGGACTAAAACCCTAAACCCTAAACCCTAAACCCTAAACCCTAAACCCTAAACCCTAAACCCTAAACCCTAAACCCTAAACCCTAAACCCTAAACCCTAAACTACCGAACCCGCGTTGAAATCACATATCAAGCCCACGCAGGGGCCTCGTCGGAAGCCCAGATCGTTCTGCACGTTGCACTGGCTTTCCGGCCGGCCGCTCCGCTTCCAGCGCTGGCCTGGACTTCCGGGAGGCCCTAGAGGAACTCGGTTTGGGGCCCTAAAACCTATAAACCCTGAACCCTAAACCCTAAACCCTGAACCCTAAACCCTACTAACCCCCAACTTCCTAAACCCTAAACTTCCTAAACCCTAAGGGTTAAGGGGCTTAAGGCTTCGGGCTTCTGGGGGGCTTGAAGGGGCTTAAGGAAGCAAGGGCTTCCAAGTCTTATGCCCGGGAGCCAAACAAGGAAAACCGCTTCGGGTTTCGGGGTCCTAAACCCTGAGCCCTAGACGGCCCTAAACCATAAGGGGCTTACAAGAGAGAGGCCCTTCAACAAGAAGGGAGGAGCAAAAGGGAGCTTCCAAAAAACGGGCCCTCGCCCCCAAACCCCACACCACAAACTGGTTTAGGGTTTAGGGCTTAGGGCTTAGGGCTTAGGCCTTAGGGTTTAGGTCTTTTGTTTTAGGGTTTAGGGTTTAGGCTTTTTGTTTTCGGGTTAGGGGTTTAGGGTTCGGTAACCCCCGAAAGGGTACCACTATGGAACTTCCAGACAGAATCCGAGGCGCTGGGCGTGGAAGCGTTGCAGGGGGCGAGCCGCAAGAGGCCTGCCTGTCTTGTATGGGCCTTACAAGGGTGGGTTTAGCGTTTAGGGTTTAGGGTTTAGGGTTTAGGGTTTAGTGTTTAGTGTTTAGGGTTTAGGGTTTAGGGTTTGGGGTTTGGGGTTTGGGGTTTGGGGTTTGGGGTTTGGGGTTTGGGGTTTGGGGTTTGGGGTTTGGGGTTTGGGGTTTGGGGTTTGGGGTTTGGGGCAACCCAAGGGCCCATACTTCAGAACCCCTTGAAGAAGGTAAGCGGCCAAATTAAGGGCCCATGAAACTACCCTTAGACTGTCAAGTGGCGCAGGCTCCTTGTCTGAAGGGCTTGGGGTTTATAGGGCTTACAGGGTTTATGGGGGTTTAGGGTTTAAGGTTTAGGGTTTAGGGGCTTACAGGGTTTATAGGGCTTATAGGGTTACAGGGTTTAAAGGGTTTATAGAGTTTATACGGTTTATCGGAATTAGGATTTCCAGGGCTTCTAGGGCTGATAGGGCTGACAGGGCTTTCAGTGTTTATAGGGCTGGTAGGCCTATTGTTGTGAGGGTATCTGTGGAGGAAGGAGTCCTGTGAATGCAATACGCATACAACCTTGTTGGGAGACTCATTCGCGCCTTCCATCCCAGCCTTGAACCCTTTTTGAACCCGTGCTGAGGCCGAGGCATGCACCCTGAACCCCAAAACCTTAAACCCTAAACCCCCAACCCCAAACCCTAAACCCCAAACCCTCAACCCTAAACCCCAAACCCTGAACTAAAGCATCGCCTTCAACTGTAGGCCCCTGGCGGCAGGGGGCTCTAGCTGTGGCGGGAGCAGTTGCCAGAGCCGCCCATCTTTCAACAGCCACCTTCCCGGAAGCAGATACAGGGGCATCTTGAAGTAGAAGGGGCATTTATATTTTAGGGTTTAGGGTTTAGGGTTTAGGGTTTAGGGTAAGCGAAGTCTACCGCGATGAAAGTGAGACAAGAGTGGTTTGTACATGCCGCAAAGTGTCACTAATGCGCTGCGACAAAGGTTCAAGGTCTAGAATGGGCATTTGGGGGGCGGTTTAGATCATCACTACTCGGGGATTGTGAGGAGACTGTACTGCTAATGATTTAGGCTCCTCCTTCTCTACTGCGGGTTTAAGGCCTGAGCTTTCGAGTCGTTGCTCGCGATACGAACCGGGGTTTAGGGTTTAGGGTTTAGGGTTTAGGGTTTAGGGTTCAGGGTTCAGGGTTTAGCGTTTAGGGTTTAGGGTTTAGGGTTTAGGGTTCTGGGTTTAGGGTCTAGGGCCTGGGGATGGCCTCTCAGCTTGCTGGCAGTCGAGGATGGCTGCGCCGTCCGCCCAGGACAGACAGCGCCCACGCCAGGTCACCTGCTGCCTGTTTGGGTTGAAGGGGTTTAGGGTTTAGGGTTTAGGGTTTAGGGTTTCGGGTTTAGGGTTTAGGGTTTAGGGCAGGGTTGAGGGATACTGAACTTGGAAGCCTAGAAACAAATCATAGTCTTAGCTGTTTCTTCGGAATTACAGCACCCCAAACAATTTCTAGGGTTTCGGGAATTTGGGTTTAGGGTTTTGGGTTTAAAGGTTTAGGGTTGTAGGGGGTTTAGGGGGTTTAAGGGTTTAGGGTTTGGGGGGGTTTAGGCTTTTGGGGGGCTGGGGGTTTAGGTTTTGCGGGGTTCAGAGTTTGGGGGGTTTACGGGGTTTAGGGTTTGCGGGGTTTAGGGGGTTTAGGGTTTGGAGTTTGGGGTGTTTAGGGCTTTTAGGTTGTTTAGGGGTTTGGGGGGGTTTACTGGATTTAGGGTTTCAGGGGAGTTGGCTGTCTTTCAGCACCCAAGCAGCCGATCCGCGTCGTAGGCCCAGCCGCTGGCATTCTCCTGGGTCCGCCGCTAGGATTACGGGTTTAGGGTTTAGGGTTTAGGGTTTAGGGTTTGGGGGCTTTGAGGGGTTTTAAGGCTTAAGTCATGGCCGTGCCAACTAAAGCCCTTATCCCTACAACCGAAACACCCGAAACGCTGAAGCTTATAATATGGCAACTTAAGCTTTGTAGCCCAGTCACCATATTAAAACTAGGGCACCCTTTATTTTGGGTAGGTTACTTTTTGAAGGGAACCCAGAACCAACAGAAAGAGTACAGGGTACCACGGGGCTACCAAGTATGGCAACTTCAGCCCTACAAACACTGGGCCCTGCATGGCAGAAGTAAGCCCTACACCCTACAAACCTTGGACAGAATACGGCAGCGTAAAGATTGAACCCGCAGACTCTGAAGACGCAACCCATCCCTGCAAGCCCCAAACCCCATTTCCTAAACCCTAAGCCCTACATGCTCTAAAGCATAAACCCCAAACCCTAAACCCCCTATGTTTACTTCAACATCGAACAACCCCACACCAAGGGTCCGGAGAAAACAAACTCAAGCGCAACCTCCTTTAATCCTAAACCCCAAACCCTAAATCCCAAACCCTAAACCCCAAACCCTAAACCCTTAACCCCAAACCCCAAACCCTTAACCCCCAAACCCTAAACCCCAAACCCCAAACCCTAAACCCTAAACCCTAAACCCTAAACAAACCCTAAACCCTAAACCCTAAACCCTAAACCCTAAACCCTAAACCCTAAACCCTAAACCCTAAACCCTAAACCCTAAACCCTAAACCCTAAACCCTAAACCCAGCCTCGGCTGGCCCACAGGGCTGCGCCCAGGCAAAGAGGCGCTCGTGGCCCGCGTGCGGAGACCACTTTCGGAGCCTTTGCTTCAAGTGAAGGGTTTAGGGTTTGGGGTTTAGGGTTTAGGGTTTAGGGTTTGGAGTTTGGGGTTTAGGGTTTAGGGTTTAGGGTTCAGGGAGTTTGGGGTTTAGGGTTTAGGGTTCAGGGATATTGGGGTTTAGGGTTTAGGGCTTAGGGTTTTTCGGAGCCTGTGCTTGAAACTCCTTATGGGGTCTTGGAAATAGGGCTCAGGGCTTAGGGTCTGGGGTTTGGGGTTTAACGTTTTGGGGTTTAGGGTTTAGGGTTCGGGGGTTTGGGTTTATGAATTTTGGGGTTTTGGGGCTTGGGGTTTTGGGGGTTTGGGGAATAGGGTGGAGGGTTGGGGTTTCATGGTTTCGGGCTTGGGGTTTGGGGTTTGTTGCAAGGGCTCGCGGGGCTTGAAAGGCCGTAGGATTGGCTAGGTCCTTTTGTAGGGTTTAGCCTAAACCCTAAACCCTAAACCCTGAACCCTGAACCCTGAACCCTGAACCCTGAACCCTGAACCCCAAATCCGAAACTTCCAAGTGGCAGCCGCCCGGCAGCGCCGGCCCAGCGCTGGTTCACCTGGATCACCTCCTCGCAAGGAGTGGTTTGGGGCTTAGGGGTGTAGGGTTTAGGGTTTAGGGTTTAGGGTTTGGGGTTAGGGGTTTAGGGGTTTAGGGGTTTAGGGGTTTAGGGGTTTAGGGGGTTCGGGGTTTAATTAGGGTATACGGGCTGCAGCAAGACGGCATGGACGGCACTTCTGACTTCTGCCAGCCAGCCCCGAACAGCTCAGGTCTCCTCGTTGGTGATGATGTCCCACACCTCCGGGAAGGCTCAGGCGCTGAAGGGGTTCAAGGTTAACACTGAAGAATCTAAATTAAGCCCCCAAGACCCATCCCCTAAACCATGTGGCTTGGGGTTTGGGATGATTTTGTTCAAGGCTTCCCTCTCCAGCCGAAAAGCGCAGTAAGACAAGAAGCCTAAACCTAAATCCTGAAGCCGAATCCCCAACCCACCACCCCTAAAACCTGAACCCTAAACCCTACACCCCAACCTCCAAAAGCTTGCCGTCATCCAGGATGTCAAAGCTCAGCATGAGCGGGGCCGACATGACCTCAGGTCCCGAAACTGCTGCCACAACTTTCCTGATTCTTCGGGCTCTGGGGAGTTTCGGGTTTAGGGCGTTTAGGGTTTTTGGGCTGGCTTTTGGGGTTTTTGAGGTGCTTGGGGTTGAGCCTCAACCCCAAGCACCCCAAAAACGCCGGTTGAGGGTTTAGGGTGTAGGTTCGATTTCGAGTTCCGCGTCGTCCGCGTCGAGGTCATGAAGGTCTCCTGGGGCCCCCGCTGCATAGGCTCCAAACTGGCTCCTGCCAGTGATTCTGGAGGTTTGGTGGTTTTGCAGGAGATTTAGGAGCTTTTTACGAGGCTTTCGATGATGGCTTTAGGGGGATTATGGGTCGAAAATGGGTCTGGGGCCTAGGGCTTCGGGGTTTATGGGGTGGGTTAGGGCTGAAGGCTCTAAGGTGTTGCTCTTGCAAGGGGCCAGCAGACTCAGGCCTAAGACTGTAGATCGGCCCAAAACCCCTAGCACCCCAAGAGCCCAACTGCAAACAAAGCCTTCAAAACGCCTAAGAAACCCAAGAAGCCTTCCCTCTCCATAAAAATCCCGACTGTAAACAAAGATCTTAAACCCGAGGAGCCCCCCAAGAAACAGGTCGCGAGCTCCTCATCGCCGGAAGAGCGCTTGCATCCAGGGTGTCGGGGTAGGCCCAGCAGCCCACCCTGACAAGCGCGGAAGTCACGTTGCTTGCTTTGCGAGCTGTCCCTATGCCTCCAGAAACCTCAAGCCCCGAGCCGATGAGGTTGCCCCTTACTAGGGTTCTTGAGGGAAGGGGGTTCCAAGCAGGGTATGTAACCAGGTTCCCCAATACTCCCCACCACTCCCTAAGGTTCTAGGTACCTACCCCCCCATGAACCCCCGTCCCGTAAGAAGCCTATAACTTACACCCCTCCTCTAGGGGTAGTTTCAATGGCCCCCTTACCCCCTTGAAGGGATTCGGACGTATGGGCCCTTGCGTTGTATGGGGTACATAAGGGGTAGATGAGGGATCCCCGTTTAAGGGACCATACTAACGGGCCATGTAGCTACCCTAAGACCTATAAGGCCTCTGAAGAACATTCCCCACATGGTTGGTTTAGTGTTTAGGGTGTGGGGTCTAGGGCTTCTCTTAAACCCAACAAGGGAAAACATAAAACCTCCCAAGGGCCTACCTGGATTCGACCCTTCACCACCTCTACTCCCCCTAGAACCTGAATAACACGAATATCTTAATCTCCTCTTGGGTTAAAAAAATATGAACCCTAAACCCTAAACCCTAAACCCTAAACCCTCAACGGACCAGCCTGGACTGGTTCAGGGCTGCAGCAGTGGCCAGGAGCTCGACATCCAAGCCCACGCTGTGCAGATCCCCAGCGGTGCGGAAGAGGTCAAAGGGACACCACCTGGCTGCCAGTCTCAGGAAGCCCTAAACCCTACATCCCTACTCCCTAAACCCTAAACCCTAAACCCTAAACCCTAAACCCTAAACCCTAAACCCTAAACCCTAAACCCTAAACCCTAAACCCTAAACCCTAACCCTCAGCCCTGAACCCTCAACCCTATATCGGGGCATACTCCGGCATGGCTGTACTAGGCGATGGGGCACTGGCAGGTCGAAACATGTCCCGTCTTGCCGACACATCCCCCACATCATTCGACGTTTGTTTCTGTTCTGCGGTCAAGCTGGCCATCCCCTAAACCCGAAACCCTAAAACCCTAAACCCTGAACCTTAAGCCCTGGCGATTCGACTGTTGCACAAGCGGTTCGACGGAACCCTGGTATTTCGGGGTTCAGGGTTCAGAGGGTTAGTTAGGGTTTAGGGCTTACGATGAACTCCCAAACCTTTCAAACTGCTAGCACTTCGTTTCGCAACAGACGCCTTGCCCCAAAATTCGGATGGCAGGACGCAGGTCTGATAACAGGACAACAGATGCCAACTGGTTGTGAAGCCTTCCACAACATGCAGGGATCTGATTGAACAGAACTTGAGGACTCCGGGGTTTAAGTTACCCAAAACCCTAAACCCTAAACCCCAAACCCTAAACCGGGCAGCGGCCCTCGAACTGTCAGGTTGCAACCCACTTCAGCCCGAGCACGTTGCGTTGGGCTCCTGTCCCCCCTGGTGGCAGTTCTCCTGGGCGCACTAACATCGGCCCGAAGAGCCAAAATCCAATTTTTTGCAGGTTCTTGTCGACAACCCCCTGATGGAGTTTTGTGCAACCTACCAAGGAAAGGTAGGTGTTGGGGTTCTTAAGATAGGGATCCGCTGTGCGTTTTGGTGGGTTTGGGTCGAGCCGCGTGCTCGAGCTAGATGCCTCCTGCTAACAAGTTTCGGAAATTGTTGAACTGGTTACCTCTACATCCGAAACCCGAAACCCAAAACCCGAAACCCTAAACCCTAAACCCCGGGATTCAAAAGTCTTGTCTTAGGTTGCTCTCCCTTTCAGGGTTTCAGGGAGTTTCAGGGTAGCAGGCTCCCAATTTGGGATGTTTCCCCTTATACTAACAATCCGTAATAAGGATTATATAGTAGGGGGTACTATAATCCCTATCAAGGACTTTCAGTATAAGGGGGAACACCTCAAGCTCCCAATCATGAACGCAGTAAGCCCTAAGCCCTAAACCCTAAACCCTAAACCCTAATCCCTAAACCCTAAACCCTAAACCCTAAGAGCGAGAGCCTCGTATTCTAGTGGGACGTTCTAAGCCTTCAGGCCCTAGGATGCCGCCCGAACAAACCCCAAGTCCAACAGGAAAAAGCTGTGTTAGGGTTTAGGGTTTAGGGTTTAGGGTTTAGGGTTTAGGGTTTAGGGTTTAGGGTTTAGGGTTTCGGGTTTCGGGTTTAGGGTTTAGGGACCTCCAAGTTCCGGGCCCAGCATCGATCGCAATAGGAGATCCCGTGGCCTCGAGCAGATCGCTCCAGAGCTGGAGGTCGTTGTAAACGCTGCCACTGTCCTTGTTGATGGTTGGGATAATATTAAAAATGTATGTTGTTGATTCCTTCTTGGGCTTAAGTAACCTTAAACATGTAAAATGTTACCCAACGATGACCAAGTGTCAATCTTGATGTATTGGAACCTTGTGGGTTGGGGGGGGGGCTTCCCTAAAGCCCGAAGCCCTAACCCTAAACCCTAAACCCTAAACCCTAAACCCTAAACCCTAAACCCTAAACCCTTCAGGGCTTTCAAAGGCTTAGGGTGTCTGTAGGGATGAGGGTGTCGGTTTAGGGAATGATTGGGTCTTGGGAGCTCAAACATCCGATCCAAGCTGCCCGTGCTCGACGAGAAACTCCACGGACCCTCTCCTGAGCAACAGAATGGGTCTGGACAACCTCGTGGACGTCATGCTGTGGTCTTCGAAACGAGTTAGTGACAATGAAGGCTGTTGAGAGTCCGCTTGTGGAGTAGCTGGCTGGATATTTGGGCTATCGGGTGGAAGGCTTCATACCCACGCTTGTTCAACAGGTTCCCCAAACCCCAAACCCCAAACCGCGCTAGCAGGACTGTCGTCTCGAGGGTACTTGAGAATCATATGGTGTTGCTGGAGCGTCTGGTCCTGCACGCAGATACCTCAGCCTAGCCGCTCGCCCAAGCCCTAAGCCCTAAGCCCTAAACCCTAAAACCCCTGTACTACGGCTTCAAGAACCCGAGGTTGAAGCAGGATCTGTCGAGCGTCATATTCCGCATATAGATCTCGCCTTCCGGTGAGCAGCTTTGCTACTAGGAGGTTCATGGGTACTTATCACCCCAACTAGGGTTTAGGGTTTAGGGTAGGGTTTAGGGTTTAGGGCTTGGGGTACTTCTAACCCCAATTATAACTGTAGATATCATTGGGGTTCAAAGTACCCATGAACCTCGAGCAGGGTCTCGTAGGAAACACACGGGGTGCTGAGTCACTGCATGCTACGCGCTCTACTACAACCGCCTCCGACACCACCGCGAGGTGAGCTCTCAGCACAGATGTAGTTGTTCATGTAGAATCCAGGCCTGCGAAACCAAAAAAAACCGAAGACATGCAGGCCCTAAAAGCACTGGGCAACTCCAAACCCAAATCCGAGGGTTTGGGGTTGGTAGGCCCAAGAAACCTCAAGACAGACCTGAACTTTAAACCCCGAACCCTAAACCCTAAAGCTTGAACCCTAGGCCCCTTAACACCCTAAAACCCATGAATCATGCCAACACAGTATTTGAAAAAAACGCGTTCTCTACATGTCCAGATACCTAAAAATATAAACAAAAAATAGAGAAACATATATATATATATATATTAATATATATATATACCTATTCATTTATGATTATTTATTTATGTATTTATATATACCCACACGCACATATACAAATGTACCCGCAACACAAATGCACGCAGGATCCCTAAACAGAAGTCTGACACACGAAGCCGCCTCAGGCCCATGGCCAGCGCCCTCGTGGTCATCCCACCTGAGATCCGCACCGGCTGCATTGAGTCCCTAAAACCCTAAAGGGTTTAGGGTTTAGGGTTTGGGGTTTAGGGTTTAGGGTTTAGGGTTTAGGGTTTAGGGTTTAGGGTTTAGACCCTAAAGCCCTAAAGCCCCTTAAACCCGAACAACCCTAAAACCCTAAGCGCCAGGACAACATGGAGGAGAGTTGCATGATCCCCTAATTTGGGCCCCTTAAAAGGGGACCCCTTATCAACCCAATATACCCTAAACAACACAAGGGCCCGTACTACAGAACCATTTAAAGATGATAACCCTAAACCCTAAACCCTAAACCCTAAACCCTAAACCCTAAACCCTAAACCCAAAGGCCCTATGGGTGCTCCCGGCTCTTGCGGGACTTCGATGGGCCCAGGGCGCTGAGTTAGGTGGCCAGGGATGAAGGTTGAGGCTTGACGGGATTCGGGTATGAGCGCGGGGGTGTTTAGGGTTTAGGGTTTAGGGTTTAGGGTTTAGGGTTTAGGGTTTAGGGTTTAGGGTTTAGGGTTTAGGGTTTGAAGATGGCTTCGGGTTTCTTCGTGCTGGACAGCATGAGCCCCCAACTCTGAACCTGCTTGGCAGGCATAGGCGGTCCCAATTGTTGCCTCGAAGCCCGATGCAACACCAGTAGCAATTCTAGACCTCAAGCCCGCTCAAGCCCTAAACCCCAAACCCCAAACCCCAAACCCCAAACCCCAAACCCCAAACCCTAAACCCTAAACCCTAAACCCTAAACCCTAAACCCTAAACCCCAACCCCCAAAACCCAAGCCCTGAGCCCAAGCGGCGCAGGTCTGGAAACTTGCTCCGGTTCACCAGCGGCCGCCCTTCAGCGGAGTGGAAGGACCCATCGACGCCCGCGCGACACGCCTGCCATCCTCCAGAAGCAGATGCTGCCATCGGTTTAGGGTTTAGGGTTTAGGGTTTAGGGTTTAGGGTTTAGGGTTTAGGGTTTAGGGTTTAGGGTTTAGGGTTTAGGGTTTAGGGCTAGGGTTTAGGGTTTGGGGTTTGGGGTTTGGGGTTTAGGGTTTGGTTTAGGAGTGTAGGGTTTGGGTTTTTTGGGGCTTTTTGAGTTGATTGATTTTTAGGCTAGCACAGGCTGCAAGTTAAAGCTGATCGAGTTTCCGGCATTCCAGGCGAACTGCTCCTTGAAACTCAAGCCCCCTACATTGGGATGTTCCCCTTATACTAAAGGTCCTTGGTTCTTGTTTTGCTTCCGACATCGGGGAGAATCCGGACCTGCTTTGCACAAGATTGTCACAAGATGATGATCGACCCTTGCGACCAGGAGTCCACGGTAACTTTAGTTGTCCAGCAGCCTAGAAAACTAAAGGATAACCTTGTGGATTAAATGGGGATTCTACTACCCCAAGAAGTACCTATTCCACTGAGTAACTGTTCAGGAACTGTGAACTCCAGAGCGAGAAAACGACACTCACGTTCATGAGGCCGTTGCTGCATTTCACGGGATGCTCTCTGCATCAGCCTGGCAGCTATCGGAAAATAAAGCCTTGATGCAAGAATGCCGCACTGTGCTCAAAGCTCCGATTGCTTGGGAGTAGTGATCTTGCCGGCGTCTGTGATGTCCACGATACCCAGCGAGCCATCTTCAAGCGGCCACGTGTAGCCCTTGGAGAAGTCCAGCCGTTTGAGATCGACTTTGCGCCACTGTGTATTCCGATAGGCTCGGATCAGATACACTTTCTCCTTGGGAGCTTTCAGGACGCCATAGTCCGTGAATTCGGCGCCGTCACTTGGTCCAGCTCTGGGATCCTTGGCGGCCGGGCCAAAGGGAATCCAGACATTGTTGAGTAGTCCGGTTCCCAAGACGACGGCGTCGTCAAAGCTCTTGATGGGCATTGCTTCCATGGAGTAACCGCGCAGGTAAAACAATCGGATGAAGCGACTTGGTGAAGTCGTGTCTCCGGGAAGTCCGAAGAGATTGTAGCCATGACCCATTGCGCGAGGGACAATTCCCACCTCGTCATCCGCCTTCACTTGCATGAACTCGTTCTGATACGGAAAAGATGGGCTCAAGTGAACTTGGGTGTTCAAGTTCCGCCAGTGCCACTTGATGTCCGGGTCGTTCGTCATGACCCTCAGCGTGTTCTCATGAATCATACGCTGGCCTTGAATATACTCGACGATTATTGAACGTCCAGAAGGATCCGCGATTGCCCAGTGCAAAGTGGCTGTCTTGAGCACCGCGTCTGGAAAGTGCGGGTTTCTTTCAGTCACGACGTTCACGGCCTCGAGCATTTTCACAGCCTCGTCGACGGTGGAGCAGTTTGCGAGGATCGCAGGGACGAGCTCCAAAACAGGGATCGCCCGCTTTCCTGGCTCTGGCTGCTCATAGACCGACTGTGCCAAATAGAGCGCAGAGACCGTCAGGCCAGCCTCGTTCATGCCCTCAAAGGGGCATTTGAGAGGCTGGTATGTCGGAGGAAAGTGGAAGATGTTCATCGCGCAAGCCAACCCAACTTGTTCCCTCCACCTCGCGGAACGGCATCAATGCTGTACTTGGTGGTATTGAACAAGTCCCACAGCTCCATGGTTCTTGGAATGAGGTAGGATGTCTTGCCACTGTCTGGATATGCAATCTCCACGTAGCTGCATCCCCAAGAGATAGGGAGCAAGGCCAGCACAGACTTCACGAGGCTGGACATGAGGGACGAAGCAGGGGGCGAGCGGGGAAGAATCCTATCAGCCGGTTCCGGGCCAAAGCTCTGGGCTTTCGGATGTATCCCATGCCTCTGCAAAACTACAAACAGTAAACTCTACACTCCAAACCCTTAAGCCCCAAGCCCTAAACCCTCAGCCGCAAACACCAAACCCCAGGCCCCACCGTCGTCGACGTTCGCAAAGCGGTAGCCGGCGTCCCAGAGGCTCGTCATTGAACCAGGCTTTACCTGGAAATTTGGAGTCAAGACAGGATGCTGGGGTTGCTTCTGTTTGCGGGGTTTAGGTTTGAGGGTTTAGGGTTTTGGGTTTAGGGCCCTAGACTAGAATCCGAGGGACCTGGGCGGCTTAGAGTTTTAGGGGGTTTGGGGGGCGTAGCCTTGATGCTGCGTTGGGAGGTGACATGGGATGCGTACGGATTTGTTCCCTCCATGCACCTAGAGGTATGGTTGGGACCTGCAGGATTCGATTGGGTATTTGGGAAAGTTGTCAAGGGGATTCTATTGGTAAGTATTCCGGCTCCTGCGTTACATCTTTGAGCCATACGAGTCTGCCACAGTGCCACATCACATCTTAGCTACGCTTGATCCATGCGACCCTTTGAACGGAGCCCCCTTACCCCCCCCCTCCCCCCACAAAAATCAACTTCAGATCAGTCCCCAGGTCTTAGCTGGTGGGGTGGCACTTGTGCACTGAACACGCATCTACAATACATGCATATATGAGAAGGTGTATCAAAGATGGAACTGGCTTCTACCAGTCGTGATGGAGTTCAGCGTTTAGGGTAGAGGGTTTAGGGTTTAGGGTTTAGGGTTTAGGGTTTAGGGTTTAGGGTTTAGGGTTTAGTGTTTAAGGTTTAGGGTTTAGGGTTTAGGGTTTAGGGTTTAGGGATGCGCTCTGCGTGGGTGTCAGGCAGGGCGCACTCCGGTTCAGAAGCTTCCTGAAGGTCTGCTCCATAAGAAGCTGATCCTGAACAGGGTTTAGGGTTTAGGGTTTAGGGTTTCGGGTTTAGGGTTTAGGGTTTAGGGTTTAGGGTTTAGGGTTTAGGGTTTAGGGTTTAGGGTTTAGGGTTTAGGGTTTAGGGTTTAGGGTTTAGGGTTTAGGGTTTTGGGGAGGTTGACCGAAATTTATGGGAAGTCATCAACATTATAGTCTGCGTGATCGCAGGGCGTCAGGATTGGAGACATTGAGGTGTTCTACCAGATTGCCCCGGGGGAGGCTACTGGGTACAGGGCCCAATGATTCCCCCGGAAGGCACTGGCCAAGGCTGTTTTTGCAAATCGTCTACACACCAGTGGCCCGATTCCCCACAAGCCCTCAAGCATTGCAGCCTAAGCTTGCCGTGTACTTGGTAGCCCAGTAACGATATCACAATGAGGGTACCCCCTTTTGGGGTTGGTTTCTTTATCAGAAAACCTTGTGCTTACTGTTTTAGGGAACCTTGAACCAAACAACAGGGGCACAAGCACACCACTGGGCTGAGGCCAAACCCTGACAAGGTGGCCCAACAAAGCTGCAGGATTCTAGACCTGAAATGGTTCAGAACTCCTTTTTTATGGTTGGGATAATATTAAAAATATTTTTTCAAATTCCTAATTGGGTCTAAGTACCCTTAAAAAGGAAAATGTTACCCAACTTTGACAAAGACTCAGGGGCTTAGAGTTAAGGAAAAGGCCCAAGATTAGTGAGGAACCCTAGTCGCTGCCCTCGAACCCCTTGGAATCTCACGTCTCTTAAGTAAGGCCCCCCTGAAAGTTAGACTTAACATCTTAAGACCCCTGAACCCTGAATTTAGGGTTTAGGGTTTAGGGTTTAGGGTTTAAGGTTTAGGGTTTAGGGTTTAGGGTTTAGGGTCCAAAAACCCTGAAGCCCAAACCCCGAGCCTCTAAGCCCTGCAACCACTTGAGCCGAATTGCGACGCCGGCTCCGAAGGCGTACCAGGAACTCCAGCCCATCAGCGGCGTCGAGGACAGGGCCTTGCCAGGGTCTAGGGGTTCCCGAAACCCTAAACCCTAAACCCTCGGCCCTTTCAGAGTTTAGGGGTTTGGGTGTGGGGTTTCTGGGGTTTAGGCCTTCGGAGGTTTTGGGTTTTTTCGGGTTTCGGAGGTTGAGGGCTTTAGGGCTTGGGTTTGCAGAGGTTTGGGGTTTCAGGAGTTTAGGGTTTAGGTGCTTTTGAGCTGGGTTTGGGTGCTTTTGAGCTGTTGAGGAGTCTTGAGGCATCCGCACGAGTTGTAGCCCCTGAAACCGAGAACACAGCACTCAACCATGTTGAGGATTTAGGGCTCAGGGCTTAGGGTTCA